CTTCAACGATAGGAGTGGACTCTTGAGGGATGACAGGCGAGTCGGGCTTCTTCTTGCGGTGTCTTCGCACTATTGGGGTGTACGGAGACTTAATAGCACGTGCACGCTGTCTGATGCGTGAACTCCGTCGTGCAAGCATAACCCGACGTAAAGCATCCACTCTATCGGGCCGCTAAATAATTAAATACAAAAATCAGTAAATAAACAGACATGATATTTAAACAGTGAAAACAAAGACAAATATGTTTCAAACTTGCATTGTATTCACCCAAGTCATTATTCTATCATAGTTCACAAAATGCATCAGATAACAAAGAAAAATATGTTTCAAACTAATACCCTGAAGTTAGTATTTGTCTTTGATTTGTCTATTGGTTGAAGTAATGCAATCCATTCAAGTTTCAATTTGCAGAAGAAGAAATAGTTTACTTTCGCAACACGAAACTTAAAATCGCAACGCGAAACCAAAATCGCAACGCGAAATGAAAATCGCAACGACAGAATCGCAATGCGAAATGAAAATCGCAACGAAAGAATCGCAACGCGAAATGAAAATCGCAATGCGATTTTGGTTTCGCGTTGCGATCTTGTCGTTGCGATTTTGGTTTCGCGTTGCGATTCTGTCGTTGCGATTTTCATTTCGCGTTGCGATTTTGGTTTCGCGTTGCGATTTTAAGTTTCGTGTTGCGAAAGTAAACTATAAATTCTTCTGCAAATTGAAACTTGAATGGATAAATTTACTTTCAACCAAAAGACAAAACAAAGACAAATACTATTTCACAGTGTTAAAGAATACACAGTTTAGCAGAATTGGCAGCAACCGAACAAATTTACTTTCAACCAAAAGACAAAACAAAGACAAATACTATTTCACAGTGTTAAAGAATACACAGTTTAGCAGAATTGGCAGCAACCGAACAAATTTACTTTCAACCAAAAGACAAAACAAAGACAAATATATTTCACAGTGTTAAAGAATACACAGTTTAGCAGAATTGGCAGCAACCGAACAAATTTACTTTCAACCAAAAGACAAAACAAAGACAAATATATTTCACAGTGTTAAAGAATACACAGTTTAGCAGAATTGGCAGCAACCGAACAAATTTACTTTCAACCAAAAGACAAAACAAAGACAAATACTATTTCACAGTGTTAAAGAATACACAGTTTAGCAGAATTGGCAGCAACCGAACAAATTTACTAAGCAATCTAAGTGAAATGGCTAATCTAAGTGAAATTACGAGTAAATTTATCATTAAGTTAAATATGGAAAATCTTAAACTTACCTCGTTGCGTAGAGTATGAACCTCATTCTGCAACGATACTATCATCTCACGTAGAGCGGCAACCTCACCACGTAAAGTTGACACCTCCACACGCCATGCACCATCGTTATCGCGTAGAGTACCGATCTCCTCACGCAAGGCATTGACCTCATCACGTAACTCCCTTGACTCATCCCGTTGAGGTGGAGGTGGAGAACAGGGAGATAGGAGTCGTGGCATCTTTGCCGGTCGCCTATCATGAGGTGATGGTGGAGAAGAGGCTCGATGATGTGACGGGATAGGTGATGGCTCTCGTTCTAGAGGTGTATAGTCGTCACGATCGGGTGATGGCTCTAGGTGAGGTGATGGCTCTCGAATTGGAGGAAGTGGATGCTGCTCATCATCCGTGCCATCAAAAAAACTCTGACTAGCTTGCCACCAATCAGTGGCAAGCTCTTCCTCCGTGGGTGACAGTCTTTGTAATGGAATGTTGGCCTCCTAAAATATAAAAACTCAAACAAAGTTAAACGTCTACTATTAATAACTTGTTTATATATTATATGAAAGTATTTGTGTTAACTTACATTATTTATTGTGGCATATGGTATTAAGTCTTCCCAATCCAACAGAGTTTTCCTCTTCCAGGAAATAGCCCTGGGAATATCATTTGACGTTTTTATTGCATATGTACGCATGCTGGGGAAAGCCTCGAATATCCAAATCTACAAACAATATAATAACAAAATTAGTAATTGTTAAATAATTAATTATAATTTTAGAAACATTATATAGAAATTCTTACCTTAAAGGCCCAAACAAAGCCTGACAAAGTGTATTTGGACCCATCGCCCCGCAAACTTTTGCGGTCATCAAAGGCAGACGACAACTTAGTCCAGGTAGCTTTCCATATATACGAACCCCACGGAAACAGATTCCATGCATTCAGGTCCTCTACCAATATTATTAGCTCCCGATGAATAGGTTGTCTGGCCTCTCTGCCTAAAAAGCCGGCATACACAAGTAGTAGAAGGCATACTCGGACAACATCGACGTCTTCCATCCGAGTGAAACTAGCTTTCTTATTAAATAATTTCTTCAGGTCGTCGACATGTAGGTTCGGCTTCTCCATTGACTCATCCGGAAAAACCCGGGATAACCATGATGGGCGGGCGATATGACGAGTGTACCGGCCTACATCATCGTGTCCGAATCGTAGACCAGTGATTAAGCAGAACTCCTTCCGCCCAAAGCAAGTATACGCTGGTGGAAAATGAAACCATATCTCTTCCTCACCACGTTGTATACTGTCGGGTAGATTTGATGTCATGGTCTGAAGCCACAAATGGGTCAAATTAGCATCTCCACCCGGATGCTGTACTCTCAGCCATGGCCCGAAGCAGGTTTCCTCAAACAATTGTCTTTGAGCAGGTGAAAGCTTCTTTGCAATTGTAGTGGCCAGGCTGACTTTATTTCTCAAGGTCAATTGAGCCGAAAAAAATTTCTACAAAAACAATAAACATACCAAGTTAGATATACCAAAAACTACACTGTGAAGATATACCAAAAACAATAAACATAAAAAGTAGTAGTTTATTCTTGAAACTAAAATTTGCAACACTGTTTTGTCTTTTGGTTGAAATGAAAATCGCAACGAGAGAATCGCAACGCGAGATGACAATCGCAACGAGAGAATCGCAACGCGAAATGAAAATCGCAACGAGAGAATCGCAACGCGAAACCAAAATCGCAATGCGACAGTCATTCTCTCGTTGCGATTTTCATTTATCTCGTTGCGACTCTTCTGCAAATTGAAACTTGAATGGATTGCATTACTTCAACCAAAAGACAGAACAAAGACAAAGACAAATACTAACTTGAAAATCGCAACGAGAGAATAGCAACGCGAAATGAAAATCGCAACGACAGAATCGTAACGCGAAATGAAATCTAAGTGAAATGGTTAATCTATTATTGAAATGACCAGTAAACTTATCATCAGTTTCAATATGAAAAACCTACAATAATGCAAACATTTCAAAATAAAAATAATTAAAAAAACTAACCCTCGGAGGTTGATTTTCCATTTCTGAATATTGTGAGGGATTTCTGACCGTGAATGGTTGTGAGGGATTTCGCCGGAGATGGGGACGGAAATCTTCGGAGATGGGGACGGATTTCTTCGCCGTAGAGAGTGAGAGATGGAGATGGGACTGAGTTGTGATTTTAGGTTTTAGGTTATGAGTTGCGATTACGGGATTTTGTCTTAATATTCTTTTTGTAATTTGAAAATAAAATACGCGTAGCGATTATAATGGCGCTTTAAATATCGCGTTGCGATTTACGGATACGCGTTGCGATTTTATGTATTATCGTTGCGATTTACGGATACGCGTTGCGATATACGGATACGCATTGCGATTTACCCATACGCGTTGCGATTTACGGATACACGTTGCGATTTACGGATACGCGTTGCGATTTATGTGTTCGCGTTGCGATTTTCATATTCGCGTTGCGATTTTGGAAAATCGCAATGCGAATTTGTACTATCGCATCGCGATTTTCAAGAATCGCGTTGCGATTTTGGAAACTGATTTGCGATTCTGGAAACTGATTTGCGATTCTGGGGATCGCGTTGCGATTTTTATTTCGCGTTGCGATTTTGTTGGTCATTTTGGCAAATCCAAAAAAAGTTGGTTAAAATCGTATATTATAACTTTTTTTTGGTCACTGAGGCGATTTTCTCTTAAAACAATAAGAAGAAGAATAAAAAGCATGTGAGGATTAAGATTGAAGCTTAGAACTGATCTGGGTCACGAACAGTGGCTTTGACAGTGTAACCACGTTGGAGTAAGAACTTAACCAGCCATGAAGCTATGTAACCTGATGCTCCTGTTACACATACCACGCTCATTTTTCTTCTTATTTTCTGTCACTGATTTGGATGGAAGTTTAGCTGGAACTAAAGGGTGATTCTTTGTTCTGTTTATATATTTAAGAAAAATCTAAGCCTCCCATTTATCCCTTTCGTGGAATCTTTGAATAAGAACACGTGTTTGTTGAGGTGTGTATTAATCTTCCGTTTGTATCCGTACAATTTTTTTAATATAAATGATTATAAGATAATATTTATTTAAAAAAATTTATTTAATTAATAATATATATTCTATAAATATATAATTGCTCGAATTTGAAGGGAAGAAAATAATATTTATTTTTATCACTTAAATTGCCTAATGAGCTCCTATTTAATTAATTTTAAAAAAATCATAAATTACATTAATTTGACATTTTAACTTAGATAAACTGCCATTAATTATTATTGATACGATATCACAATTTAAAATATTGATATAAAAATTAATCAATCGATTGCAGTAGTTAAAAAATTGTTATATTTTGAGGTTTCCAATTTGAGAAACATATGCACGTGTGTATGTACATTCAACATCAACAACAATGATATCGGGATAAACTAACTCAAATATGAGTATCGAATACATTTGTATATCCGGCACACGAATGTTTGAGATACAAGTATTTTAAAAAATGTCAAATCCATACGTAATTAAATATCGATTTTCCATGAAATTATGTCGAAATTCGTTACATCATTGTTTATAAAACATACATGTATGTTGTTTGACCAATAAACAAAGATGGATTTCGCATCAAATCATCGTATATATTCGTTCTTTAATTTCACATTATGTATGTGATAAATAGCTAATATGGAGAATCAAACTTAATTCATTTTCTTTAAACAAGCCTATTGAGGACATTACAAGCAAAAGAAGTTGAAATAAACATATTACATGACTGCTGGGATTTCATTTTCTACTTCTGGTTGTTACTTCCCTTCTTCAGTAGGCTCACGAATTTACTGAGTAAAGCATTCTTCTTCTTCTGTTGCCCCTTCTTCTTCGACGCCGATTTTCTGCCATTGATCAGGCCTTTACTAACTTCCATTTCCTGCACAAGGGCTTTTTGCTCAGGTTCTCTTTCCCGGGAAAATTCCTTGTTTTCAATCTTGCAGCTCTCGTTCATGTTGAATTCAACCTTTCTCGAATCATCTTTGTTGTGTTTTGTCTCAGCTTCCTTCACTTGTTGTCCATCCACATTCTCCACTTTGGCACCGCCTTCATTTACCTCCAGGTGCTGTTCCGATGGGAGCTCGAACTTGGGGTTCTCTTCACGTCCATGTCGATTTTCTTTCGACACTTGGACCGCTGCCTTAGGCTGCAAGTTATAGTCCTTTTCGCAGTTCGATGGCTCATCTCTTTGCCTTTTCATCGTAGCTTCTTCTAACAACTTAGACAACTCCTCAGCTTTCTTAAGAGAAGCAGCTTCCCTAGCATGGAGTTCCTCGTTTTCTCGAACGACACTCTGCAGCTCGGTTTCTTTATGCAACAAACTTGTCTTCAATTCTCTGCTCTCGGTCTGGACTTCCCTCAGAGCTTCTTGCAGATAAATCACCTCAGATTCAACCTCCTCTAGGCTCTCCTTCAACTGAGCTTCTTCCTCCTTGAATGCAGAAGCTTCTTCCTCGGATTGTTTCAGCAAATTCACCAGCCTACTGATCTCTTTTTCCCGAGAATAGTTTTCGTCTTTTCGTTCCCACTCGGTTCTGGAATTCGGGTATTCGTTCTTCGACTGTTCGAAGGCACTCGTAAGAAGATCAATCTCTTTCTGCGCATCGTCTAGCATTGTTTCATACTTCTCCTTTGTTGCTTTCAGGACCGATCTTAGAGCCTCTAGCTTGGCCTCGTAATTTACATGCTCTTTTTCACTTGATAAAAGCTTCTCCTTCGCCTCCCTTGCTTCTGCAGAAACTTGATTCAAGGCTGAAGCTAAGCTTTCCATTGCTTTCTTGTTCTTCTCCATCTCATCCCTGGAATTCTCCAACTCGCCGATCAGTTTGGTTTTCTCTTCTAAAAGAGTTTGAACACTGGAAGCCGCTAGCTTTTCGTTATTTAAAGCTCGGGTCTTTTCTTCCTTTGCAGTTTCTAACTCGAATTTCATAGACTCGACTAATTTTGTCACTTCGCTAGTTTCTTCCTTGGCTATATTGATGTATTGTTCTGATTCCACAAGGTCGCCTATTTGTTTACTTATTGTCACTTCCAGGAACCCCACCTTCTCTTTAAGAGCTGTGATTTCGGATTTTGCATTGAGCAACGACTTGTCGTTGTTCTCTAGTTGCTCCATGACCGAGTCGAGAGATTCGGATGCAGATCTTTCGAGCTTCTTTTCTTCTGCAAGCCGCATTTGTAGTTCCTTGAACCTTTTCTTCCATTCTTCTACTATATTGAGTGCATACGATTCGGCTATTCTTGCAGCTTCTAGCTCGACATTAAGTTGTTCGATGAAGGCCTCCTTTTCGATTAGCATCTCCTCATAGGCCATTGCTTCCTCGAGTTGTTGTTTCAATGACTGGATCTCTTGCTTACACTTGATCACCATCTCCTTGTTTTCATTAGTCTCTTTTTCGCTCTCCGAATCAATCAAGGACTTCAACTGAGCCAATTCAGCTGAAAGAAACTCGACCTCCTCGGCATGGATTTCGGCAATCTTGGTTGCATCATTGGCATGGTTCAGAGCCTGGTTCTTTGCATCGCAAACCATGGCTAGCTCTTGCTTCACCCTTTCGAGCTCCTCAATCGTAGAGCAAAGGGCGGCTGCATCCGAAGCATGCTTCTTCCTTATGGATCTGATTTCATTGAGCCATTCTTTATCTTTCATGTGAGCAGCTTCGATTCCAGCCTCTTCCAACTCGACGGACCGGAATTTCTCGATCTCTAAGCTCTCTTCGGCTCGCTTTTGCCCAACTAAAGCCTCTCGAAGCTTTTCGTGTGCTTCATCGGCTGCTTTCCGTGCTTCTTTCAGTTCATCGATTGCTTGTGCCTTCTCTTTCTCGATCAGTGATATTTGCTCCTTCCTCTTCTTTAGATCATCCTGCACTGAGTTCAATTGAGCCTGCAATTCCGATCCCTTACCAATCCGTGTTTGTGATTTCTAGAATCGAAACCGAACAAAATATTAGTCAGATTTGAACTCGAGCATGCATAAGACGAACTAGTAAACTTACTTCGGATGGCGTAGCAAGCCTTGGTGATCCCCGATCAATCGATGGCTTCGAGTTAAGAGACGATGATCGTGGGGATGGGTCGACAGAATGGCGAGTACCTTGCAAGGGAGAGGGTAAACCACGTTCCGGCTCAACCTTTGGCGGCCTCCGATCAATTGCCAGCTTCGAGTTAAGAGGTGATGATCGAGGAGACCGATCAACCAAATGGCGAGTACCTCGCAAGGGAGAGGGCGAACCACGTTCCGGATCAACCTTCGGCGATCCTCGATCAATCGTCGGCTTCGAGTTAAGTGATGATCGTGGGGATCGATCGACGGAATGGCGTGTACCTTGCAAGTGAGAAGGTGAACCAGGATCTGGTTTAGCAGCCAGACCCCTGCTTAGTTTACTAGCCACTCTTGCAGTAGCTGGTGAAACCTTGGTAGGAGTTTCAGATAAACCAGATCTGTTTACATGTTCAAAGTCTCAAATTCCCATGATTTAAAAAGGCAAAAAATGCACAGAATATCAACAAAATCAAAGATGGATCTAATATTAGATTATGCAACCTTTTCCCCCCATAAAATCCAGCTCTGTTTCATCAAACAACAAACTTGGGTGGGGGAAACCCATTTGAAAAAGAAAACAAAGCTTGAGCGTAACTTACTTGGATTTAGTAGCCATGTTGTTCTTTTAACCAGGAAAGGCAAACCAAGAGAAGAACTTGGATTGAAGCTGATGTTAGCTAAAATGTTGCCATTTTCGAACAAAACAAGGGGGGAAATGCACTTTTGTTTAGCTATGAGATTAGAAAAAGAGAAAAAAGAAGAAGAAGAAAATATTGGGTTCCTTTTTCTGCAATTCAATTGTAAGTTTTAACAATAAAGAAAGAACAAGAAATGGAAGCAAAACAATGAATAATTAGAAGGAAAAAATAGTAAAGTAGCGAACCGTAACTACTGAAAGATGAGAGAACGCAGCACAAATCTCAGAACTTTCAAAATAAACGGCTCACTATAAATACATAAAATAATACGAATCGTTTAAGTATTTACATAAATTATAACTATAACATAAGGTATTAATTTATATTAACTTCATTGTTTTTATAATTATAACGTAAGGTTATTTATAAATATATATATATATATGTAATTGAGATATAGCAATATATGTATATTAATATGTTTCGAATTCACTTACATAGTCTAAAACTCTTTTAACTTTACATGGATTTAGAATCATTTGATAAAAAAAATAAACTATTAGAATTAACTTTTTGCTTTTTCCTAATAATATCTTTTTATTTTTTACTATTATTTTTAATCATTTATTTTCATTCTATATAAAACTAAAAGAAATATTTATTTATTTCACGTAATTTTTTCAAGAGAAACAAAGGAAAAACCGTAGCCCGCTTTTGCTCTTTTTTCACGTTGTTCCATTCAAAAAGAAAACCAAGTATATAATTATCATGTGCCCACCCCCTACCTTTCTTCTTCTTCTTCTTTATTTTACCTTTTTGCGAACCCTAACATGGTAAACTTTATATTTCATCAATAATTTAATTCGATCTTAATTTTTAAAAAAATATTATATGAGTCTCAACTCGACTCGTATGAATTAAAATTTTCAAACATGAGTAGGTCTATCAAAATATGATAACATAAACTTATAAATTTCGAGGATCGAAACGAACTTTAAAACCTAATAAACAACAAAATAATTAAATTTGCAGTGCTTGGGAGGAAAAGAAATTGAGAAATGTAAAATTAGATTAGGTGGAGGTTTACCTAAAAGAATTTGTAACCCAAAATCTGATATTCTCCGGTTGCCCAGTTGGAATTATTATTGAATGGTTCCCATCTTCCACGCTTACAACCTTGTTTTTGGGGGATTTATAGGTTGAGATTGTGCAATTTAGTTTTTTGGGTTTAACCTAAAATTGAAATCCATTTGTTACATTTAACTATTTAAGGTTGTTTGGTCGATGTTGTTGCTTACGCAATTATTGACGGTTAAATTGGTTGGTCCAACCATCTGTCATTACTTTAATTACAATAATCCATACTTTATTTAGTTAAATTCCTATATTTTATTTTATATAAGTATAGGAATTTTACATCTCTTGGTGTTAGAAATAAAATATTTATCACATCCTCTTACGACGTGGCTGAAATAAAATATTTTATGTATAATACTTTTTGAAATTTCATTGAATAATGATTAGAAATTGAACGATAAAGAATTTATGTTTAAAGACTACTAATTTGTTTCTTAAAATGATTAGTTTTAATTATTGTATTTAAAGACTATAAAATATGAGAAAAAAATAAAACGTCATCGTATTGATATTAATTATTTTTTGAATAAAAATATTTTAATTTTTTAATAAATTTTAAATCTAATCCTAGTTTTACCTAAATGGGTGGAGAAGGCGAAATTCTAAGAAAAGTAATAGGAGTACTAATGGGTCTAGAATCCATGACCTAAATGAATATGTAAGGATAAAAATGAGCAACTTAACCAATTGACCAATTGTGTTTGCTCTAATAATAAATTTTTAATTGAAATGACACTTAACTAACTGACAATATCAACTTAATCAAAGATTTAACGATACTAATAATTAGTTGGTTCAGTGGAATGAGGTATTGAATTTCTTAAGCAAGATCGATGATTTGAATCATGTCATTTGCGAATGAATTAAATTGAGTACGGAAGGTCGTCTCCTAATAAGTATTTATGAAATCTGATTTGAAAGAACAACATTCTCTTTAATTATCGAGTTTCCCTTAGTAGTTCAACTACGTCCTTCCTCTTTTAAAAGCTTCTTTTCTAAATTAGGAAACTAGCAAAGAGAGTTTTGAATTCAATTATTCATCTTCAGAGATAATTTTCTTCTCTCTTCTTTAGTGATTTTAGTTGAACTGAACTGTTTCATACATTAAATTATTCGTTTTGTTCGTTAGATTTGGTGAAAAATGAATGGATTTTGATTATCTACTATAAATCAATCCATTCATTAAAAAAATAATAATTTAAGTGATCTAATATTTTAAATATGTTTCATAAAATAAAATTAAAATTATTCATTTGAGTTTCTCAAGAAAAAAGTCTAAAAATGTTAAAGAAAATAAGTACTTCCTAATCATTTAATAGAAAATAATTTTATGTTCTAAAATTAAAAAAAAAAACAAGAAGAAGAATAAAGACAGAAAATAGAATAATGAGAGAAATATGTATTATTTTCTTAATATAAACAGTCTATAATGTTTTTTTCTAAACTCTATAATTATAATCATAAGTAATAGATACCATATATAACTTTAATCCCAATGAACATTAAAGTCTTAATAATACAATACATCAAAAATTTGTTTAATATGTAGAGTTATAATCATAATAGACATTCACATAAATAAATATTTATAATACCCTCTTGGATGTCTATGAAGATAATGTGTCTTGTTAAAATTTTACAACGATAAAAATCACGTAAAAAAAATAATCTTAGTGAAATAAAAAGAGTACACACATCTTTAATGCACATAACAAGTTGCCTTATTAAAAATCTTACCAGAAAAATCTATTAGGGCAAAATCTCGGGTAAGAAAAAAAGTGTACAACACATATTTACTCCCTCTAATGACAGCATCGCATAAGATCTTTGAGTCTTTGCAATTCAATCTTAAATAAATATTCCAATGTTGAAAAAAATAATACATTGGTTAATAAAACTTCCAAATTATTGCTTGAATGAATTCACCGAATAATTATATTACTATTTTCTGCCAAACACATTATCAATTTGTATCGTGCATTATTGCTTGTTTTGTATAGGCACATGATAATCCTCAAATTATATGTATCTCAATATAATCCTTAAATTGATATGTATCTCATGTATCTCATTTTAGTCCTTAAATTGATGTTTATTGTTTGTATGCATGAGTTAATGTCTAATTTAGTTCCAATTTGATTTAAGTATATGTTTTAATAAGCTAATATGATATCTCCAGTCCAATTTATATTTAAGTAAGGTTAATAATGTTATAGTTTGTCAATGACTCATCATTATTATATGTATTTTTACGTTAGTATTGACGGTGTTTATCTTTTACCTTCAATAATAATATTTGTTTGTATCTAATATTTGTTTATATTTTTAATTTTTTTATATGATATTTTTATTAACTAGTATGTGCTTTAGATTGCGTTAAAAAAATTCAATCAATTGTCTCTCTTATTAGAATAATGAATGCCAAGGTTCCACTTATTCATTATCTGAACTAAAAACCTCAAATAAAAAATAAAATTAAGCTTAAAAATCTGACCCACCGTTACATAAATGGCTTGGTGGGTGTACTTTTGGTTCAATCTTAGCTTGCATTATTTTAAATATTTATATTAATAAACTAAAGTTTTATGATTTAACTACTCAGAATGTATAGATTACTAATTTATAAGGAGACGATTTCAATTTTGTTCTTCAATTATGTCTGTTAGGGTTTGTCAGAGGACAATAATTAATTAAGTGTTAAACCAAAAATTTAGAAGAGTGAAAAGCCCTACAGCCTAAAACAACATCAAATAATTGGGAGGAGGTCAAATCACACTAATTTTAAAATAAAAGAAATTAAAAAAATAATAAAACAACTTACACACACACATATATATAAAAGAGTATTATTGATTTCCAAAGGACCAAATTGATGTGTTAATTATGACTTAGGGATCAAATTATATATTAATTGTTAATGTGCTTTGTGATTTATCGATAACTTTAATAACCATATCATAACTTTAGAAACTCCTGTGACTAGAATAAAATTTTACTCAAACTTTAGTCATCATGGGGGCGTAGTTAACCCTACTTAAAATTATTGTTAAGAAAATAATTAGATACTAATATGAAAAGTGGACAAATTCAAGCGCTTAAATGTGAATTACACCCTATTTGTAACTAAGAACATAAAATTTTCTCTGTAGGTGTGTAAGGCCGTCGATCTGAATTCTGAAACATTTTGTTTTGCTCATCCCATGACCAAGCTCCCACATCGTCTTCCTTTGAGTTGTATACTTTCAGCTTTCTCATCAATCCAAACCCATTTTCATCTCAACTCATTGCCCAGATTTCATTCAAGGATTGTATCGTCGTCGTCTTCTTCATCCTCCACAGGCCTTGTCGTCCCCAGCCATGACCATATTTCTCGTCTCATACTAGACCAGAGTTCCCCAGAAGCAGCGCTGCAAACCTTCCATTGGGCTTCAAAACTCTCAAATTTCACCCACTCTCAATCTACCTACCGTGCTTTGATCCACAAGCTTTGTGCTTTCCGACGGTTCAATGATGTTAACCAATTGCTCGACGAAATGCCAAGCTCAATAGGGGTTCCCCCCGATGAAGACACTCTCGTCACCCTTGTTCGAGGACTTGGACGTGCCCGGATGATCCGGGATGTCATCAAGGTTGTTGATTTGGCTTCCAGGTTCAACACCCAACTTTCCTTGAAGATTTTCAATTCGATACTCGACGTTCTTGTTAAGGAAGACATTGATTTGGCTAGGAACTTTTATAGGAAGAAGATGATTTCGACTGGTGTTCATGGTGATGATTATACTTTTGGGATATTGATGAAGGGTCTTTGCGTGACTAATAGAATTGCCGAAGCTTTTAAGCTTCTGCAACTCATCAAGTCCAGCACTGTAAAGCCAAATGCTGTGGTTTATAACACTTTGATCCATGCTTTATGTAAGAATGGCAAAGTTGGAAGAGCCAGAAGTTTGATGAATGAATTGGATGATCCCAATGTTGTTACCTTTAATATCTTGATATCCGCCTACTGTAAAGAAGAAAATTTAGTTCAAGCTCTTGTGTTGTTAGAGAAGAGCTTCGCCATGGGGTTCACACCGGATGTCATCACTCTGACTAAGATTCTGAAAATCATCTGCGACGCCGGTCGTGTAGTAGAAGCCTTTGAGATTTTAGAGAAAGTCGAGAGCAAGAGGGGTGTAATAGATGTGGTAGCTTATAATACTTTGATAAGAGGCTACTGTAGGATAGGAAAGGTGAGACTTGGGCAGAGGCTTTACATGGAGATGGAGCGTAAAGGCTGTCTCCCGAATGCCGACACATGCAACATTTTGATCTCCGGTTTCTGTGAGTCCAACATGTTGGATTCAGCTCTGGATATGTTTAATGAAATGAAGGCAGATGGGATCAGTTGGAATTTTGTTACTTATGATACATTGATTAAAGGACTGTGTTCAGCAGGGAGAATGGAAGACGGGTTTAAGATTTTAGAGCTAATGGAGGAAAGTAAGGCGGGTTCAGGTGGACGTGTTAGTCCTTATAACAGTGTGCTATATGGTTTATACAAGAAGAATCGTTTGGAGGAAGCATCGGAGTTCCTTTCCAAGATGCAAAATTTATTTCCCAGAGCTGTTGATAGGAGCTTAAGGATATTAGAATTTTGCAAGGAGGGAAGGGTCGAGGACGCAAAGAGAGTTTACAACGAGATTACCGGGCAAGAGGGGATGCCGAGTGTTCTCGTTTATGATTGCTTAATCCGTAGTCTTTGCCTAGAAGGGTGCACACGAGAAGCAGTTGAGCTGATGAATGAAATGGTTGGCTATGGTTATTTGCCAACAGCATCGACATTCAATGACGTGATTAGAAGGTTTTGCAGTAACGGTAAACTCGCTAATGCTTTGAAGCTAATGGAGGACATGGTCGGAAGAGGATGCACGCTTGATGGTGGAAGTTATAGTCTATTGATCAAAGGTTTTTGTAGGATGGGGGATATTCAGAAGGCTATAATGCTTTTGCTGCAAATGTTGGGAGAGAATGTAATACCTGATGAGATGACGTGGAATTCGGTACTTGTTTGTCTTAGTCGAGAAAGAGAATGGTCGGAGAGCAAGAAGATGTTGCATGTAAATAACCTACTAGAGTGTATTATTGAAACGTGAAAACATCGGCCATGAGTTACTCGAATCCACTCTTTTAGAATGAATGATTTGGTCCTAATATTATCTTTTGCTCATTCTCAGGCTAAACTCTTTTGTAAGTTGGTTGGTTCGTTCGGTGCACCCAGGGACATACATATGATTTTATGTTAGAGTGGTGAAATTTTAAAATTTTAAAGAAAGACGAACTTATAAAATTTTAAAGAATGAAAACAAATTATTAATAGAAAGTACACAAATATCTAAAATATATGATAATTTGAAATTTTCAGGGAGGACTACCTTCGTTCTCTCCCTAGTACCCTTTTTATTCTACCTATCATTTTCTTCATCAAAGTTATGGTTCATTCGTTTTTAATTGTCACTAGAAACCACAATTCTTCATAATCTTTTACGTCTAACTTAGATATTGATGAACTCGTTTCATTATCCTCTTAGATTTAATTTGGATTTCTCCAAAATCTCTTTAAAATTAATTAAATTAATCGCTGAAAATCTTCAGTTTATGGAGGTTTGAGGTTTTCTTAGATTTTAGGAATTTAAGGGTTTTTTTCAAAAATTCAAACAATGAGAGACATTATTTTGAGAAAATGAACGGCATATCTCAAAACCAGCCTATTCCGATGATCATTGGAGGAGATCGAAGTATTAGTATGTTGAATTTTTAGATGAACTTTTATAGATTTTGAGTGAGTTTTATGAAAAATTAATTCGACGAGAAAAAAGAAGAGTGAAATACGAACTTTTCGATACAAATCTTGTCGCAAATAGTGTGACCAGTGACGGACGAACATTGACCACTAACAAAAGTTGAAAATTCAGTATCAAAATCGAAACGTTTTAAAAATATAGTAGCAACATCAATACAAAAGTTAAGTTAGTGAAAAAGAAGACGATCATATTAACGCATCGATTACTATTAAATCAACCAATGATATAATTGTATATAAAATTAAAATAAAATTAAAATTCAATACTATAATGTAACAACCCAAAGTTTAATGATAATTTCGATAAAAAAAACACTAATATTTAGTGATATCTAAAATAATTGGCCCGAAAACAAATTATTATTATTATATATTAATACTCGGATGTATTATTTTATATTCTATAACTAAATAAAATAGCCCCTCAAAAAATGATGAAATCAATTTTGGTTGAGTATAGATTTTTACTTTTAAACTTAAACGTGTATGGTAAGTCTACTTGAAGCACTTCCTCTTGTATCCTTTTCTCATGTTATTAGGGCACATAAGACAAAATAAACAGGAAATATGAACAAAAATAAAAGAAATAAAAAACGAGGGAGTGATGCATTGTCCACTCTACTTTAATTCCCCAACTCTAAATGCAAAAAGGAAACAGAATGTTTGTGTAATTTGACTATTATTCCTCACTACAAAATCCAGATTTCTCTCTCTCATAGTCTCATGTTCACACATACCTCTTGTAAGTCTACTTGAAGCACTTCCTCTTGTATTGTAAGTCTCTCTTTCTAACTACACTGCTCTTCTCAGTTTTCGTTTCTGAATCCCTTTGCTTCCATTGATGAATAACAAACAAAGGGTTCCTCATTTTCATCCCTGTTCATTTCTCTTGGAGCTTTATGTTTTTTTAAGAGCACCAGAAGAAATGATTCTTTAGTTTTGGTTTGGTTATCTTTATGGAATTGAAATGGGACGCTCCTTTTTTGCTTCTACTGCTGTCTCTATGCTTTCTAAGCTCATCTCGGTGTTTTGATCTTGACCCACGAGACCAAGACTCACCGTTACGATTCAGGTCACCGGTTGCGGACCCTGGCCTGAGATTAGCGACATGGTCAGGGTGTAACTGCACCAACTGGACCGGTGTTTCTTGTGGAAACCAGACTGGGCGGGTTGTTTCTATGAACCTGGCTAACATGAATTTGTCTGGTCAAGTGCACCCCGCTTTATGTGATGTTTCATTTCTTTAATACTTGAATTTGTCCTGGAATGGCTTCAATGGAACAATTCTAACATGTTTTGGTTCATTGGGTAGCCTTAAAACACTGGATCTCAGTCACAATAGCTTCGGAGGGGTTGTACCTGATGATACCATGGAGCTGAGGCAATTGAGGGAACTTGTGCCGAATGGAAACCGAGAACTCGGTGGCGTTTTACCGTCGTGGATCGGTAACTTTTCGAGCAATCTCAAAAAACTAGAACTCGGTTCTAATTCCTTTCATGGGGAGATGCCCGACAGCTTGTTTCACTTGAAGTCCTTGAAGCACTTGGATCTCGGAGACAATTGTTTATCAGGCAATATTCACGAGTTTCATCAGTCGTTGGAGTTCCTAAATCTTTCTTTGAATCGGTTATACGGTACTTTGCCGTGTTTCGCTGATTTGACACGGAGTCTAACTGTTCTGACATTGGCTGACAATTCACTCGTGGGAAGAATACCTACATGTATTGCCTCCCTGCAAGTGTTGGCACATCTTAATCTATCATTCAATCACCTGAGTTATGGTATCTCTTGTTGGTTTTTGGCAAAGTCCCACATTGGTTGTGTATAAGGAGGAGGAGAAATTCTTTTGTTATAAATAAAGCCATCATCCTCCTTAGTTAATCATCCCACAAATATAAGTCTTCTTCTATTTTAAAGGCTATTTGTATTCTTTCTCTCTTTGTAATATTTCCTCTATTAGTGAAATATTTTGGTGTTCTCTTTTATGTCTATTTAATAGCTATTGTCGGGTATAGTTGTTGTCAATTATTGTCCTATTAAAATTACTTGTCTTGGTAATTCTGTATAAGGAAAGTGGGTTTTAAGAGGGACCATTGTGACCCCTCCTCTTTCCTGGGAATCTACCTTGGGGTGATTTTTAGTACAATCATTTTCACACTAGTCACCTAGATAATAGTTTTCAAGGTGAATTGTTATTGGTGGAAATTAACCCGAATTCTACAACAATTGGTATCAGAGCTCTTGGTTTATTTTAGTATGCTCTGTGGTTGTGGCTTAAGCTGATCTTCCACATCAGAAAAATTTCCTTGGGATAATTGACATTCCGCATTAGCAGCTATTAAATAGAATTTGTAGCAGAAATGGCAGACGCTTCTTCATCTTCAATTTTGGCAAGAAATGATGTGACAAATGTTAGATTTGCAGTGGAGATTTTTGATGGCACCGATCATTTCGGCATGTGGCAAAGCGAGGTTTTAGATGCCCTATTTCAGCAGGGTCTAGACATTGCTATTGAAGGAGAGAAACCAGATGATGTTGAGGAGAAAGAATGGAAGAGGATTAATAGAATGGCATGTAGTACTATTCGATCGTGTCTTTCTAGAGAGCAGAAGTATGCATTTTCTAAGAAAACTTCTGCAAGTAAATTGTGGAAGGCACTGGAGGAGAAATTTTTGAAGAAAAGCGGTCAGAACAAACTCTACATGAAAAAGATATTGTTCCGCTTCAACTATGTACCAGGTACCACTATGAATGATCACATTACTAGCTTTAATCAGCTGGTGACTGATCTGATGAATATGGACGTGACTTTTGAAGACGAAGATCTGGCTCTGATGTTGATGGGATCACTTCCTGATGAGTTTGAGTATCTTGAAACTACTCTACTTCATGGGAAGGTTGATGTGTCTCTCAGTGAAGTAACTGCTGCCTTGTATAGTTATGAATTGAGAAAGAAAGAAAAACAAGAAAACACAAGTGTCGAAGCAGAAGCTCTTGTTGTTAGAGGTCGTTCGAAGAGTCAGAATAAAGGAAGCAGAGGGAGATCGAAGTCAAAGTCCAGATTGAGCAAAGATGAATGTGCCTTTTGTCGAGAAAAAGGGCATTGGAAGAAAGAATGTCTCAGGCTAAAGAATAAAGGCAAACCTGAAAGGGGGAAGGCTGTCTCAGAATCAAATGTGGTCGAGTATGATGATGGAGATTCAGATTTCGCATTCGCTGCTACGCCATCAACCAGCTGTTCCAGTTCATGGTTGTTAGATTCAGCTTGTAGCCACCATATGACCCCCAATAGAGAATGGTTCTTTGATTTTAAAGAACTAAAAGATGGAATTGTCTACACAACAAATAATTCCCCTCTTGACACACTTGGGATTGGTTCAATTCGCTTGAGGAATCAGGATGGATCAATCAGAACCTTAACAGGTGTCCATTATGTACCAGATTTAATGAGAAATCTCATCTCTATGGGAACCTTAAAGTAAAAAGGTTTAGAAGTGAGGGCAAAAGATGGGATTATGAGGATTATCTCTGGTGCACTGGTGATAATGAAGGGAATCCGAAAAAGAAACAATGTGTATTACTTTCTGGGTAGTACAATTGTTGGGACAACAGCAGTGGCAGCTTCTACTGATGAACAGGAGTCAGAAGCAACCAGGTTATGGCATATGCGTTTGGGGCATGTTGGTGAAAAATCCTTGAAATTACTGATAGATCAAGGATTATTGAAGGGTGCTCGGGCTTGCAAATTAGCTTTTTGTGAGCATTGCATCAAAGGGAAGAAGACGAGGGTGAAATTTGGAACATCAATCCATGATACTAAAGGTATTTTGGATTATGTTCATTCAGATGTATGGGGGCCTTCCAAGACAACTTCATTGGGAGGAACACACTATTATGTCACCTTTGTTGATGATTTTTCCCGGAGAGTTTGGGTGTATCCAATGAAGACAAAGGATGAGGTGCTAGGATTTTTCCTTAAATGGAAAAAGATGATGGAGACTCAAACAGGCAAAAAAATCAAACGTCTCCGTACAGACAATGGTGGAGAGTACAAAAATGATCCATTTCTGAAAGTCTGTGAAGAGGAATGTATTGTTAGGCACTTCACTGTCAGAGGTACACCACAACAGAATGGGGTGGCAGAGCGTATGAACCGGACATTAGTGGAGAAGGTTCGGTGTATGTTGTCTAATGCTGGGTTAGGCAAAGAATTTTGGGCTGAGGCTTTGGTCTATGCTTGTCACCTTATCAACCGCTTACCATCGACTGCTATTGGTGGTAAACACCATTAGAGAAATGGTTTGGAGTACCTGCTACAGATTATGATTCCTTACATGTGTTTGGTTCTGCTGCATACTACTATGTTAA